GGCTCCCAAAATAAAATGACACTTAGGCTAAAATTTTTTAAAAAACCAAACTGTTGCAAAGTGGTTAAAAAAGTAGTGTAACTTACATGATTAAATCAAAGCAGATTTTTGAAAGAGAAGTTTAATAAAATGAGTCAAATATTATTATTGTAATAAAATTACAAGAAATATTTTGGCCTGCTGACACTGTGATAACACTCCCATACACTTTCATACCATTGTCTCCCAAACTTATTTTTTAATTTATTTTTAAAGACACTTTTTTGCAACTAATCATATAACCTTATTTAAGATTACTTTATTGCTGAGAACTAGCTGGCTGTCAGTATGAACAAAGTATTCTTCCCTTACACTGGAACGTAAGCATCTGAACTTCACAGAAATAGCAGCAAAACAAAACAAAACCAACCAACCTGGGACCTACACACAAACCTCCTTATACATTTGCTTTCTTGGCAGAGAGTATAGTTACTAAAGTCTGATCCTATGCCCTTAAGCCTAAGGCTCTTAAATAAAAAATAAATTATACATTTAGGAAGACTCATGTATTTCTACTTCCACTTGAAGTTAGGACCATCTGACATCACTGGTATTTTGGAATCACTTAGTCACTGACTTACTGACTTAAGGAAAGAAGTATGTCCCACAAGGAACCTTACACAGGCAAGCATGGACAGACTGATTTGCAGGAGCTAAGGATCTGACCTTTGTATATCATAATTGGTATCAGAAAATGTAAGTGAATTATTTTGCATCTTTTTAAATGTGCACTGGAATGAGGCCATGCACATTTGTGAAGAATAGATCTGACACTGTCAAATCAAGGCCATGTAAATATATGGGTTTGTTAAGTCAGTTCATACAAACAATGATTTGATACGTGCTGAACTACGGTGGTTTCTCTAGATCACACTGACCTGGCTATTCTTAGCCATTCAGTAGACAGAAAACAAAATAAACATATTTGCTGAACCACTACAGTGGAAAGTTTGGAACAGAAACTAAAACATAATGCAGTAGTAAACTAAGAAAATAAAATACATAGTTAGTAACATAGTGTTGATTATATCCACAAATTACAGAGGGTAGGACACTGATTATGTGACATGTTTCAATGCAGGTGGAAAGGGTCGAAAATGACCTAGTAACATGGTGATCCACAGCTTTCAAATGTAAGTTTTAATTCTAATATCGGTATCTTACCTTAAATGAACCTGGAAACGCTATTTATTACATTGAAAGAACAACTATGACCAATGAACATCTGTGGAATCATTTGAGAGAGACAGTAACCGAATGAGTAGCTATAGATAACAAACATAAAAAGTGTCTCTCTCTCAATCTTAATTGGTAATTACAAAGGGATCCACGCAGGGTCGGATAAAGGCTTATACAATTAGGTCAAATTAAAGTTTTCGTATCATCTGCTTCAAAAATAGATTCACAGATTATATTGATTCAAGTTTATTTCTTTGCATGGCTTGCATACCTCAGTTTTGTATGTGTGGGACAGAGTTATATATATTTAACTACTGAAACTTTCCAGTAAGAGTGGTTCAGTGTGTGTTTGGTCCTTTGAGAAGTGTTGGTATCAACTGCTACACTATATACACGTATATATATATAGCATGTGTTAGTGTTTCTTATTCCATTTTCCCAGACAAGTAGTGAAAGCACGTTCAATTTTCAGAAGGTCAAACACACATAATATGCATATCACAAAACCAACACCTTTTTAACAAGAAATTTGAGCAGCTAAAATTAACAGAAAATACTCACTCCACTTTCCTTCTCTGTTTTTTAGCTGAAAACGCAGGTGGAGGTGGTGGCGGAAGTGGAGAGGATGGAAAATCCAAAACATGTATAATGTTGTGATTCTTTGCCTCAGACACTGTTTCTGCTACAGAAAAGACATCTAGAAAGAACTTCAATGAGCGCCAGTGGACTTCTGCTTCGCATAGAATAGCATAGATCGTTCTCTTAACAATCCTCTTAAACACTTGCCATTTGTTGGAAATAATTTTTAATGGAGTAAACAAACAGTTACAATTAAAAACTGGAAAACTAAATGAAAAAATAATGGTGCAAAAGGAGTTAACTGTGCGCTCTAGATTTTTTTCATGTCAATTCATATACAGTATTTTTATTAAAATATGTAACTTCTGCACACTGTCCAAAAAATATAAATAATTCCAACAGTCTTACATGAAACTACTGAACCAAATTTAACATGTACAATTCAAACAAAAATCTCGATTTTTGTAACTTGTATATTTAGGTTTTTATATTATGTGTATTTCCTTCATCTGGAATTGTCCTTTTCCTTCACTCTCAATACTTTATATAGTTCTACACTAAACATCTTCACTTTCGGAATGCTCAACACAATTCCCTGGCTCCTATCTATTAAAAGCAGGTCCATGGGACACAGTATTTTTTCAAAACTACCAAGGGTAAATCTGTGAAGTGTAGCCACAGCTCAGAGAAACCACTCTTTTGCCCATGTACAAATAGCTCTGCCCACAGTTCCTAAACTGACCACCTTTTATGGTAAAAATCTAAAAAGGCAGACCATAAACATCATACTTTGCATACAAGTAAGAGTTTACTAAGTTACCTACAGCAGTCTATCTCCAGCAGGACCTACATTCAAAGGCATTTTAAAAGGCTCACGCACTCCCAATGCACCTTTTTAAAAATGCAGTAAATGAAAGTATTTGAAAACCAATGAACTGGCACCAATTTCATCCTGGGAGGGAGAAGACAGCAGAAGTAGAGCACATCAGAATTCACATTACCTCCCTGTTACAACCAAGAAGACAGACTGCACACAAATTAGCTCTTCATAAACAACAATCTCCCTACCAAAACCTTATGTTCTTGAAGAATTAGAGTCCACTCCATACCTTCTACTCAGGTCTCACGAAGCCAGCCCCTCCTGCAGATGGAAGGAAGGAAAATGGCTAGTATATTATGCACAGATCTGAGTATTCACTGGAACCAGTTCCAAATTTAAGAGGAGATGGATGTCAAATGCAATTCCTGCAAAAAACAAATTTGACATGCAGACTCAATCCTGCCACTTTTCTTCCCCATTTAAAGAAAGCAGACCCATACTTTTCCTTTTTCTCTGAAGGGCCTTCAGCATCCACAGAGAAGGGAGAATGATTCAATAATTTGCCATATTATATACATTTCTAAGAATGCTCCATGAACACAGATACTGTGTAAAACTATCACTCAAGATAAAAGGAATCCACAAAAAGCCCCCCACTTATTATATCCTTATTTATAAAAGGGCCAAACATTTTATGCAAACTTAGTTATGACATAAAACTGGGTATCGTGTATTATTTTCTGTATTAAATGCAGATACAAAAGAAAGCTATTTCAAGGTTGTTTAATCATGTACTTTTATTCAAACTGTATTAAATTATGTATTTAATATGTATGCTGTACCATTTCCTAACTGTATTTGGAAGACCCAGAGAGGAGTTAGCTATCCAGAACACCTAACATACAATACTTCGAGTAGCAAATATAGCAACACATTCAACAAAAGCCCCTTTGGGCAAGTTGCATACATGTAAGCAGATTGCTGCAGATTGGATTTGACTCTCAATCAAGCTTGCAAGATGACAGAGAATTAACCTTTAAATCCACCTTCTTACCTAAAGAAGCCTTCATGCAAGGCTACGTTTATTTCTTACTCAAGGACACCCTAAATAGGTCCTTGTACATCTATTATGTAAGTACAAAATGTTTAAAATGTAATTATGTTAAGTAATACTTGTAAATAGAGTTCTCAACTTATTTATGAGTGCATGTAAAATGTTCATAAATACACTGCAATCATCTCTGCTGTTACATCTTCAACATCAAATACTTATTTATAAATATTTTCTATAAATATATCTACAGTGGGAAGTACTTATCAAAAATATATTTTATACAATGTTAACTTTCCTCAGTTTAACGTGAACATTTAATTTAAAAAAGTTTGTCCTCTATATCCAAAGTAATTTTCATCCAACAAAGAAAACAGCCACCGTAACTATTCATGTGCAGACTGTTTCTTTGGAAACATAAAATAAAGAAAGTTTAAAGTTGTGTTGCAATTTGGACAGGAAGATGAATCCAGTAACTTTCTCAAGCAATACATGTTCTTTACTTGTGTATTTAGGATTACACTTTAAAGAAGGATTAACATTCAATCAATGTCAAGGAGATCAGAAACCACAGATAACATACAAGTCACATGTACATCTCCGTAGAAAGCCACACCCTTTATTTTTTACATCAAAAATTTCACCAACCAATCAGATTTTTTTAAGTGGAATTATCAGTCACATCATATTATAACTAAAATTTTTGACAAAGTTACAATGAACTAAACTTTTCTAAGGACTAGCAGAGACATTTCAGATATTGTTTACTAAATTCCAAGCGAAGTACATATTTGATAAAAATTTAACTTCTCCAATTGTATTTGAAAATACTGACAGAGACTAATACCTGAACATTACTGTCTACATGACCAATAGATTTAAAGCTATTAACTCTTGTTTAATAGATTAGAAATATTAATATATTAAAAGTGTACGGCTTTAAACTAGTAACAGAATTTTCCAAAATGCCCCTTTACAAAAATCTGACAATAACTGAAGCTTGGGATAAAATAAAAAGCAGGCAACTTCTTTAATGTAATGTCAATAAACTATATTCTTGTTTGTTTACATCCTTCCTACTTCTAAGTTTGGGTGCCATGTATCTTTTGCACTGAACTGAAAAAATTATTTCTCTTAGTTCATCAGTATACAGCCTAGCACAAGAAAAAGAAAGTTTTTAGACCTAAACCCTTACACAAAGATAATCTACTGAGATGGTCCATATGAGCGACTGTAGAAAAGGTACGGTGGCAGAAAGAGGTCTCCGGTCCTTTATTATGACTGGATTTCCAGACGTTCATCTTGACAATCAGCCTACATCAATCTCAAGTTTCAGAGAAACAAGTCTTGAAAATACTCATCGAACTCCTCCTCCCTGTAAAAAAAAAAAAAAAAAAAAAAAAAGAGAAAAAAAAAGTCAATGAAAGTTGGATCTGTACCTAGGCGATAATCTTTGTATGAAAAAGATTCAGCACACTTCTGATTAGAATTTGTAGCTGGTATAGACCATTTTGACTTAATTCAATACATTCAATTCTGTACATTCCAATACCCTTCACATTTCCCCTTCGGTGCAACAGCAGTGAGTTGACTGTTAGGATTTACTTCTAAGACAGTTAATAGTACAGTAGGGGGTAAGACAGCAGTGGTATGGTAGTGGCTTGACAAAGGTTTCTCCTCCAGTGTTGTGTAGGTCTTCTCTTTAAAAAAGTACACTTAGGCTCACTACATGGTAGGAGATCTGATGTAACTTTAAATGTCAGAATATTCATCAAAACACTCAGAAAAAAATCTCTGCCTTTTCAGTTCTGATTGGACACAGCATGTTTTACTAGCTACAAGTTCACTAGATCAAACTAACCGTGATTTTTCATCTGCTTCCTGTAGAGGGCCTTTCCAAAAGTCGGCATCTGAAGGACCGTCTTGTGCATTGCTGTTATCTGAATCTGTTAAAAAATTTAAAGCGCTTATGAAATAAATTTTAAAATATTTTATCTTTTTTTTTTTTAAATTTAGACGGTATAATGCTAGGAGCAATGTTTAATTGCAACCATGAGAGTAAAAACACTTTACTTTGCATAAAGTAAAAACTAAAACATTTTCCAATATTATCCAATACAGCATCAAAAAGACTCAGATACCATGAACTAGTATTTTGGCCAAACATAATAATCATGTCAAAACACTGATCTTGACACGACAGCAGCATAGCACTTTGTTCCTAAAATTAAGGGGTTATAACCACAGGATTATATGTGGTTATACAAAGCCAGGATTACAAACAGTTTCAACTCATGATACTAAATGAAGCAATGACTTGACTTCTACTTGAATGACAACTTTTATCAATTGTAACTTATCAGTGAAATTGTCAGAAAGCATGGATTACTGCAGAACTGTTTCAGGTAAGTATACAGAAGGAGTAAAATAAAAAAAAAAAGTTAAAATCTCCTCATCAAAAATATGCCCTGACCTAAAACCCCCAAATCTTCCTATAGAGCTTCCTAAGACCAATTACAAATGACCATGAAATACAACTTACTACAAAAACATAAAATGCAGATCATCTTCAAATAATTTACCTTTATCAGAATTATCTGAATCTTCTGAAGAAATCTGATCTGGAAAGAAACACCATTTGAAAAACAGTAAGCTTATCTCGGTTTCATCTGTTATCTTAAGTTGTTTACAAGGGTATTTCTATCACAATATATCACACATAAACATGTGCACGTGCACACACCCCCCCCCCCCCCCATACGCTCAAAGAAAGCAAGCAAACACTGAAGAGATTTTTTTTGCATGAGTTCAAAGGTCATTAGTCTGAGCTCAAATACGTTATCCCGAGATCCGTGGTGTAAAAAGGTTATCTAACATTTCAAAAGGCTTTCAACCCCAAAGTCTTGAGGAATTAAATTCTTCATAACCTCTTCTGGTATGCAACATCCAATTCTTTGTCTCCTTGCAATGCATATTTTTCAAAAGGCTCTCCCTCACTGTAAAATGTAAGAAATTTCTCTTTTTTTCCCTCCAAATTTATCTTTTTTGGGCACCTAGGAAATTTTACCTAAGAAATTTATCTTTCTGACTAACTAACTGTGTTACACAGTCAAGAAAGTTACATACTTGTACTTATACATAATTATATATTTATATCTATACATATGTACCTATAGCAAAACTAAGATTCAACTAACATTTGAATATTTTAAAAATTGAAGGTCTAAAATTTATATTTACCTTTATGGGTCTTTTTTTTGGACTTCTTTTTTGCTGAACAAGACAATTTTGTCTTCTTAATCTTTGGCTCTTTAGAGTTTGGTATAACTGAGCCTCTTTTCTTGCATGCTTTGACTTCTTTCCTCCTTTAAAAAAATGAATGTACACCTCCTCTATTATATGTACTCTTCAGGCAACAGTAAATCTTAAGTACTTAATTCAGCCAACAGTTGTAATTTTTTCTGAAACTTATCACTAGTTACACTGAAAAAAAATAATTTATGAATGTTAAAATGAAAAGTGCTATAGAAACACTAGAGGTCTATAGCTAAAGACAAAGGACAGGAAATGCTAAAGCTTCTAAAATGACACTGATGCAGGCACCAAAACCAGTGAATTGAATCAAAGATTAAATACAGAAAATAGTTTTATAACATACCAAATTCTTATTTATATTGAAATCTTATTTTTCTTTTAGCAAAAAGATTTTGTACTTATGTCATAAAACCCCACAGTTAATACAGGTTTTAAAATATATTTTCACATTTGATAGTGACAAAACCTGAGGTAGAAGAATCTCAAGCCTAAGAACCTGCTGCAGATCAACAACCCATGTATTTTATTTTCAGCAGTACTTATATAGGCCTATTGTATCAACATAGGCTAACTTCTTCCTGCTTCTTTGCTCAAACCAGTCACTAAAATTGTTTCAAAGTATTACTCTGCAACTGACAAAGAGAAAATGTTTGACAATGCTTATTCTGAATTGAAGCGGTTTTACAATTTTAGTTCCAAAAAGAAGCAAAACAAATCGAACTAATCTCAGTTAGTTAATTCTCCTTCTTAATACGTGCCTACACAGTGCCTTTAATGTAACTGAATACGAATTAACTTTTAAAATGGATCAATTAAGTATCTTGGATATTTCCAAAAAGATGCACCTTTGTTTTGTGTTACTTTAAAAAATAAATCATCATTCCCTAGCTCAAAGGTTTCCCTTTCATATGCTTTTCAGATAACTGTATGGCGTATTTACTGAGCCACACAACTAAGTTAATGCCACATCAAGATTCAGAAAATCATGAAAACTGAGTATCAATAGCTGTGGAATTCAGTAAGATTATGGACAGTAATAAAAACCAGATCATATCTTAGTGCAAACATTTTACACGTTCAAAATTCAAGATTTTTCTCTCCAATTAATAAGTGATTCTCAAGGAACCAACACTCAAATTCAAAATTTCAAAGCACAGTCACTTGACTCACACATAAACCCACTATTTTTAAGAATAAGAAAAGCATTCCAGCTCTTAAGCACAGCAAGAGGGAAAATTAAAAAGACAGTGTTTTGCATAAACTTTCAGAAAAGAAAAACAATCACTAGGCTGAACTTAAGCAAAGCAAACTTTCATGGGGGTAGGGATGGGATTCTTCCAGTTTGAGGGGCTTTGTACTTTCATTAGCACAACAATGCCCAACTCCCAGCAGTGTCAAGCCAGTGACTTTATAAGAACTCAGAACATAATCTATTTCAGCATAAAAGAAGCTCCTAATCATTTAGCTGAAGTTTTCCCTCTATTTGTTGTTCATCAAAACCGTAACCTATCAGGAATTCAGCCCCATGTTTTCAAAATATTTCATTACCGGTGATGAAAGTTTAGTTTGCAGGAACATTCTGGACATAGTCCTGAAAAAGACAGAACGAGAACATTACATCCATGTATGTGACAAGTACAATTAACAAAACTTAATAATACATATATAAAACTAGATTGGACACTATCTTCCAATTTCAGTAGCTCATCCTTCAAAACAAAAGTTACAGTGTAACTGCAGACAGGGTTGAGAAAAATATCATGATAAAAGTCTTCAGTACAAACGCAGATTTTAGTAAACCTGGAGAAAGATCACAGGTTTACCACTGGCAACTCTTCACAGAAAAGTATCAGCGTTTATCATGTACAGCTATCCCATTTTAGGGATCTTTGTGGACAGAACAAATTGTTCTACAATTACACTGAAGACCCATAAGTCTCTTACAGCTTTGCCAGAGACCAAGTGCTACCACATGAGATGTCTTGTGCACAAAAGAAGAAAACCATTAGCTTGTTTTACACAAAGTGACTATGTAAACTGTAGTAAATTTAATTATCTGATGAACAAATCAAAATGTACACCTTATTGAATAAGAAAATCCCAGACAAGACTGGAAAAGGAAGTGAATTAATTAAACTTAGAATTTTTGGAAGAAAACATAAGTATTAAAAAGAAAATTAGTACTCCTGAAGGTGTGCAAAAAGTTGTCTGGTCCAAAGCCCTAAGGACTCCTAAGCCACATAACTGATTAAGCAATGACAATGATGAAACCCTCCTTGCAATGCAGTACTGTCCATCAACACCAGACATGCTTGCATACAAAACAGCTTATAATCAGTTATTCTAATTTTATGACAACACCAATTATATGGCATGAAGTGCTCAACCTGTAACAAATTCATCACATAAAATGATAATAGCTGTTCTCTCTAAATCAAGACCATCATACTACCTGCAATTAATTTAACGAAATTATCTCCTATTCAGCATTTTCCATTTTGCATGAACTAATATCATTATCTTGGGTCTCACTCGATAGCTTTTAAAGCACAAAACATTTGTTTTCTTTTCAGTGTACATATCCTTGAAGGGCTGACTTACTCAATTTCACAAGTGCATTTCTCTTTTCACCATGTTCAACGTAACCAAAATTCACCTCCCAGCTCTTCAGGCCTTCTTTCTCATCACAGTGCTTATTTCCACAGGAAAACTGACCTTTAAAGAGGTCAAAAACAGCAAACCATAGTTCAATGATTAACAAGCAAAGGTTTGGGGTTTTTAGATTTGGTTTTGCTCAGGTTTCGCTTTTTGTTTTACAGTTCTTTCAAATAAAAAAGCCCGAATTGAAAAGTAACATCTAGACTAAGGAATCAATAACAGATAATGACAAAGCAATCTATCATACTTGTCTAATATTGCATATTTGCAAAGAAAGAACTTAATTTGAACTGTATTTTATAATGTACAGATGAAGGCATATGTTATGAAATAATTAACCTAATACTGAACTCTGAAGAAAATGAATGTCTCTAGGATACATTCTATATCTTAGATGATTACTTAACAGAGGCTGATGAATCAGGAGATGCGATTCAAACATTCATCACTAATTACATCAAACTATCCAAAGCACCGTGTATGTACAAAATCAAGATGTTCATGTTCTTATTACGTTACTAGTTTACCTGGCTTACAATCTGTATTCCAGTGACTTTCCATAAACACTTTACTTTTAAGAAAAGGAAATCCAATTCTCTGAGAAACTATACAACAGCTTGAAAAGATTCCTGGGGTTTATGATGTCAAATACAACACTAATTTTAAAACACTTTGTGCATAATCAATGCTGTTTACACCACTGGCTTCCCAATACTGCAGTAATAAAGATATATTCCCTTTGCAGAAGACTGATTTGTGTGCAGAGCTGGCAGTAAGGATGTGTATTAATAGGCTCACGAGCAGGACTGTTGGTGAACGATTAACCTCAGAACATTCTGCTTAAGCTGCTAACTAATGGATTGGCAGTGTCCTCAGATACTTCAGTTCTGCAATGTAAAACCACTTGCAATACCAACACTTGAACTAAAAAAAAAACCCAGGACTCTCATTTAAAAAAAAGTTCAAATTAATATACATTAAATATGCTTAACCCTATGTAAGCTATGGCTATCAGTACCCTGTGGCATCAGGAATAATTTATATCTGTTATAAAGAAGTAAAAATCTACACGGAAAAATGTATACTACGTGAAACTTTTTGGAACTCAATCAGACTCTGGTTGCTTCACATCTTCTGAAAAAAATCCCCAAATAAACCCAGAAAAACAGGCAGAGAGAAAAAGAGATACACATCAGTTTTATTTATGATTAGCTGCTCTTTACAGTATGTAAAATCCATTTTGGATATTCTACATTTTGGATTTGAAACCAGATGTGTTCACAAGAATAAGTTGGAACAGTATCTTCAGATTACTAAGGCAAGCAATGAATTCTTAAATAAACTACAACTTGAGTGTGTAAACCACCATAACTCCGTGCCATTACACATTTACTTGCATTTACGATAATCTGAATATCTGAAATCATGGTGGGATTCTTTTGTGCGGAGATCCCTGCTCCAAGCCATACATGTGTATAAATAGCCAGGCTTCTCTTGCCCTCCTTTCACACTGCAATCCCTACAACACATATTCAAACCTCGACTTGAATACAGAACTGCACTCTTTCTGAAGGCTTTTCCTGCAGTATTTATCACTCTAGTATATCAGAATGTCATAAAAGCATTAAAAAACATATTTTTGCAATGTAAGAGATCATTATAAACGCCATCATGTATATGGAGAACGCAAATCAAAGGGAACTACAGACCAAATTATTCAGTACTTGAAACATGACTTTTCCCCACAGTTAGATGTCCAAGAAAGAAAGACACGGAAACTAGTGTGCTGAGTGGACAGTTCCCTAATTTAATCAGCAAGAAAAACGTATGTCCAAAATTCCATTTCCATCTGAAGTTTTGTCACCTTGCTATGAGCTGCAGGGAAGTTATTGCCTTCATGTTCAGCATTTTAATTCCTATAATCTGGATGTTAAATGTGTGCTTTCAAAAACTATTAGCACCTTCTGCTTCTTGCAGAAGAGCAGAATAGGTGGAAAATATAACTACTACAAGCTAAATGAAGACCTGAAAATTAAATATACAAAGGAAATCTAGAGAGCCAAAAGGCTGTTTTTAATGCATTTTGATTAGAATTTAGATGTACCAGATTGATACATGGATCCAAGGTGCACTATCTGGGTACTGATACCCTGCCTATTTTCCATGGAGGAAATTACTGAGAAAAAATAAATGGAAACTGGTTTGGAAGAACATTTGTTTAAATAAGGTAAAGCGTATTATTATATGTGTATTTATACATATATAGAAGAGGTTAAGAAAGACACTACTGTGCTAAAAATAAAATGCTAGTTCAATGAAACAGTGGAAAAAAAATGGAGAGTAGATCAATTTGCAGGTATTAAACCCTATTTTGCCAAGTAATATGTCTGGTTTGGGTATTTTACTACTTAATCTACAAATTAGCAGAAAACAGCAAATATAGCCAGATGTTCAGCTTTGCTCTTTCTGCATATTGCTGAAAAAGTCCTATTTCACATCTACCCAGTAAGCTTGTTACCTATTTTCCTACAGAAAACTTCTACCACTATCATCCTTTGCCTAAAATAACTTTTATTTTAATATTTTATGCCATACCTTACAATTCATGCTTTGAAAGTAGAGAAAAAGTACTTGAGAAGGCATGTCAAATACACTTTTCAAATAGCTTAAAAGCTTTTAATTTTAAGGATTTGTTTTCAGACCAACTAACTCATGTGCCTACTATTCACTGATTTATTAAATTTAAAGTAGGCTACTTAACATTTTAATTAAGAAAATACCCATTTTGTGGAACCATTTATTGAAACGGCAACATATTACACCATTAAACCACTAAGGTTACACTTTAAATTTAAGAAGATACATCAGCAATCTGCAAAATGACCTCCTTTCAAAACACCTATGGCAAAGACTGGAGTGGGAAAGAAAAGAAGAGAAGGAAATACTTGGTATCTACAATTAGTAATACAAGTGATACCTCTCCTTTCACTCATCCTAACACTTTTTCTCCATGATCTTACAAAGACAGACATTGAAAACAAAGCAACCAAATGCAAGTAACCTATTCCTATGTTCTCTTCTTCACATACCCCAAACCACAGCACAGTCCACCAGCAGTAGTTCTCATCACCTCTATTATTGTCACAGCTAAAATAAGCACACGCTCTCCCTTTTTTGGTGAATTATTCGACAGGTAGGTATTAATGCTCAATTACATTTAATTAAAGCAAGTTATATTACCGATTTATACTTAAAAATACCAAACGAAAGGCATTACAGATTCACACCTTTTTTTAAATGATCATTAGAAACTGCACTTGTAAGGAGCGTCTCACACGCCAGCCACGGTTGGATTCTTGCGCCCCTTAGTGGTAAATGAGATTATTTCTCATTCTTACGTCTCAGTTGTACCCTTTCCAGTAGGATTTCATTAAAAAGCTTAAAACGTGTAATTTCGCACTTTCTCCCACATTTTTAAATATGGAATATCAGATATTAAAAGTAAAATGCGGCTTTAAGTTCTTGTCCCCATGAAGACATAATTGTTCATACACTACTTGTTTCTCACTTAATTTTCTTTTTAAAGCATTCGATAAAGCATGTAACTGTATCAAACATAACCATCTGTTAAAATAATTTGTAATGCCAAACGCAACATAGGACTGCAACTACCTTTAGGAGCTTTAATCTTTATAGCTTAAAAAAGCCCACCATTAATGATCACACTTCCTCCAGTGAAATACATTTTTTTTTCAAAAACATGTGTGTTTCTAACTTCTTGTAATATAATAAATAGAACTGTTTACAGAACTGTACTGATCAACAATATCACTCCATGCAATTTTCTTGTGTGTGCATGCACGACTTCTGAAAACTCTACAGGTGTATCAAGATCTACCCTCAGGGACAGTAACACAGCCACATCGTTTTCTTGCTTGTTCCACTACTGGAAAAAGTCCACGCGCCTAGGCCATGGAACCGGGACCACTGTGCCAAGTCCCGGTAACACATCAGTAAGAACTCACACACACAAGCAGCCAGAATAAGCTACTGATTTAGAAACAGGATTGGGAGACTTGACAACCATTCCCACTGAAGCTTTCGAAACCCATTTAGCCTAAACCAGACATTACACGCAGTACTTCAATTAAAAAGTTAACATTTTGCAAAACAGCACTGGAGAAACTTCAGAAAATTACTGCCTGAGGAAAAGTATTCAGAGACTTCAATTAATGGCATCAAAGACTAACGAGGTAACATAGGAGAACTAAGAAGCAGCTACAAAACATATCCATGAAATTCTACATTACCAAATGCATCATGTTCATGCCCATTACAAATCTGACCTCATGAAAACAAACTACATGTTCTTTTAATTTTAATATATGCAGCTGAGTGTGCACTCTAGAGCTATGTGGCATAAAACAGCAAAGTTAGAAGTTAGGTCAATTTATTGTCCATTATTATCTGACTTAATGGTATTATCAAATACTGTCTAACAAGATTTTGTCAAAATACAGCAAGAAAAGCATCAAGGAGAAATGTCATATAAAATGAAAGACAACATTACCTTTTCCAGAAATTACTTCTTTCTCATGTCGCCATCTAAATCCAAACTGTTAAGAACCAAAATTAAGTTGCAAATAGTCAGTGTATTCAGTAATGTAAAGACTAATTTCAGTTGATTGATGTCCTGCATGTAGTTCATCCATTCAATTCTGGTTAGTAAAATTCAATTTTTCTCTGTTAATTAAAAATATCTCTCTGCCTCTGCTTCCCAGAAGGCTTCCAATTTACACATGCAATTCAAATTCCAGTAGATGCTGTTCGGTACTGAACAGCAATGTTCTAAAAGGCTTCACAGCAGGCAGAACACACAGGAAGTTAGGACAGACTGACTTTACTAGATACTTCATTGCAATTTTGTCCACACTAAAAACTGAAAAGACCACTGGAATACTGGAAAGTCGTATTAGTGCATATCAATGGATCACCTCTTACACCCTAAAGTCTAAGACAAAAAACCCCAACCCAACCACTACATTGTATTTCTTGCCTAGAAACTTCACATGTATGTAACCCATCTACTATTTTTGTTTTCCAGTAGAATCTGCTTCATCCTCTCAAAACGGCAAGCAGGCTAGTGAAAAGATTGAAGACAGAAGGGAGTGAGAACAAGCTAGGAAAAAAACTTTATTTTCACAAGGAGAGAGGGGATAAAACTCAGAGGCATACAACTTGTCCAAAAAGAGCTATCTTGTATTTTCATTTAAAATTCAGGAACACAGGATGAAAACAAGACAAAACTGCTGCTCTGTAAGCAAAGCACAGAAGACTCTGAACTTCATGTTAAAAGATGGGGAGGGGAGGGTGAAGAAAGGTTGCAAATATCACAGAGGTACAAAAATGGCTGCAAAGCCCATCTTTGGCACCCGAGTTCCAAAGCATCCTTTGGAATATGAATCTTCTCTCGGTGCACTCATAGACAGAACCCACACAAACATGCATTTTGTAGATTCAGTGGCATAACACCTGTAATCTACTGGATTGATTTTCAGCATTTTTAATCTAATTTTAAACACTGTATGGAAATACAGGTATCTATTGGTATGTGGCCTTTAATGTTGTTAATTTTTTTAATAAACCATAATAATTCCTTATCTGAAGTGCAACAGCATGGAGTTCTCTTGCATGAAGTGGTACGTGGTTCAGAATCAGAAAAAACAGAGAAACAAAAGGTTTGGCTTTTAAGAACGTGCCATACTCTCATATAAACACTTTGCACCTTAATAACAAAGCTGAAAAAACTGAGCAGAAATACAACAGCAGCCAAACGTTTTGTTGGCACTGATCTTCCCCAAGTCAATGTATTACACAGAAGATGTCTAAGAAAAAAAAATCATACACCAATAAAATATTTGCCTCTTTAAACTAGTCCACTAATTTTCAAATCAGTATTACAACATAAACAGTGTTTCCACACCTACTGGTTTCACTGCTAGAAAAAGTCACAGAAGATCAGGTTCTGCTATTGTACTCTGTATGATGACAGTTTGCTAAGGTGGATGAGGCTGTACTTGGCCTACTCTACAAATCTGCAGTGCATTATACCATTATACCACTCATGCTTCAAACAAAAATTAATCAATTGTAAAATTGTGTTGAGAAGCTCGGCGAACAAAATGTAAAATACATCTGTAAATGTAGAATTCATGATGAAAACCAGTTGATCCAAAGAGGTATGGTAATTGGTTTGTTCTTTCAAAGGATATTTGCTCTTTTACGGGGTATTCCAATCCTGAAAATCTTATGATGCAATTGAAAAATACTGCAAGTTTATGATTAAACATCCACAGTATTTTGGCACCAATTTTGCAGGTGTGTGTTGCTGACAATAAAGAGTAAAAAACAATTCAACCGTATCTGCATGTTTACTTTTTCATAGTCCATTTGCTACTTCACCAACCACCAAGTTATCCCTGCTCACTTTTGCTACTGAAGTAGATTTTTATACAAATTTTCCCTTGTAGTCTGAACTCAACTCAGTAAGATATAAATCAGATTATATCCTTACAGAGTATTTCTGTAATGATATCAAGAAAAATAAGCAAAATAAAAGAAAGGAGGAAGCAAGAACCACCTGTAGTACATCTAGGACAAAAGCTGTCCTCATCCACATTCATTTTTGCTAATTGCTCTTTCACCAACTAGTGGAACATAACAGAGAGTGACCAAGGCTAAGAAACGAAGGGAAAAAAAAAAAAAAAAAGAAAATACAACTGAATTCCTCTATCTAGCTGAAGTATCAGGAACAGATTGAACTATACAGCAAAATACAAAATTAGGGCAAGTTCTTGAATAGTCAGCCTGCAATATTAAGGAATGCAAAAGCATCATCAGCAGACAGCATTTAACCTACCTTAGCTTTGTTAAATGAGTTCAACAAGATCCTAAATGAGCTATTTCTACAAGGCAGACCAAGACCAAGTAGAACAACTCCAAAATAGATGCTTTACAAGAGTATCGAATGGCTAACTTAGTAAGAAATGACAGTTTAAAAGTGACCATAAACAGTAAAATTCCCAAATTAAACACAGACTGCTTGTGTAATGCATTGGCTGTAGTAACAACCAACATGTCCAGATGCACATCTTTCAGGAAAAAAAAGGAATGTATGAATCTAGACAACACTGAAAAAATACCACAGATATTTTAAATATTTTTATTTTCACAGGAAAGCCTCCATGCTAAAAAACAATGAGAAAGGCGAACATATTAACATTACCAAGTGGAAGATAAGTTGGCCCAGAAATCTGAAAATTATCTGGAAATAAAACCAAAAGAATAAAATCTATTCTGTTTAACGACCAGGTGTCAGACAGATTTCATTTCTTAGCAAATAGGAGACATTTCCATTCTGTTAAGTTAAAAACAAAGCAGAGAGATAGCAAGTAAGAACTTTTGTAGGAAAAATAAGACAACAAAAAGAACATTTCTAGTCCAATGCGTATCAAAGTAAAACTTACATGCAGGGCACTCTCCCTCACTGCATTGCAAAACTGACAATAGAACTAAACTGTCTGACAATACAGACAGTCTCAGCCTCAAAGCTTGCAGACAAGAGGCACTGAAGATTCAAAGACAACCTTGACCTAAAAAATTCTGATCTAGGGAAAATGTAAGGAGTAACAGACCCATCACAAGCAGGAGCTGTCAGAGCTGTTCCAGTGTTTCTAAGTAGCCTCACACCAGAGGGTCACCTTGGCATTTCTCCTTAAAAAAGAAGAAAAAGCTTTTATGCCAACTACACAAAGAAAAGTGGGATTGTGGGTCACAGGGTCCCATTTGCGTGCGGTGTCAGCAACCGAGGTGAGTGCAGGTGTTCAAGTGAGCGTGCGAGCACCAGTGAAGACCAAGCCAGACTAGCCATCAGCTAGGTGAAGTGGCGTGGGAGCCAGGAGGGTGAACGGGTCTCCACCAGCCAGCTCTGAATGTGACAGCACCTATGTACCTCTAAGGATGAGAGCACAGGGGGGTCTGCCATGGGACCAGGGGAGTCCCAGCCATCTCTCTGTGTGTGCAGGTGTATATGCATGTGCACAGGCGAGTGAAACAGTCTGAACCAGCAACTGGAGTCCGGCTGTGGCCTCAGGGGTTCCTATCTCTTGGGTCTTCTTATTGTTTTCTTTTGAGATTCGGTCTTTGACAAAGTACGTGCTCTGCTTATTTTTCAGACCTCAAGAGAGCCCCTCCCATGAAACTGGTTCTTATCATTATTCAGTACTTAGGAAAAAGTGGTTTTTTCTCAGAAGAAAAGTTCTAAATGAGATCTGGGCTACAATCTCCCTGCAGAGGTCTTTAGAAGAATTAGCTGGCTAGAAGATTTTGGCTAGCAGCAAAACGATTAAAAGCTGTGAAAGGATGAGCATGTATGTGCAAGTCTCAATCTATGCAAAAAATATATATTAAAACCATGACAGAAAACTGATCTCCAACTTTACTTTGACATCATCTAGCAGGATACAGAATCACAAAATCACAAAACAGCCCAGGTCGGAAGGGACCTTGAAAGATCATCTGGTTCAACCCTTCACGGGAAAGGGAGCCTAGACTAGATTATCTAGCACCCTGTGCAATCACACCTTGAAAACCTCCAGTGACAGGGACTCTACCATGCCACCAGGGAGGTCGTTCCAGTGAATGAATGTTCTCACTGTAAAAAATTTCTTTCTTACATCAAAATGAAGCATCATCATATAAAGCATCGACAACAATCATATGAAAGCTGGCCAGCTGAGAAGCTTGTCACCCACTCTGCACCTCCAATAGCACCAGCACTGCAAAACAGAAGGCACGCGCGGCTAAAGATATCCAACCTCCAGTCTCTGGAAACACAGAAAAAGAATCAAGGCAAGAAAAATCTGAAAGCACAGACTGCATTCCATTGGTGTGAATGGGATCAGCAGCCTATTTCTGACTTTCAAGAAAAAAACCTCCTTTGAAATCCTTCTGTACCAAACATGGGCATGGATAAATCAATAAGTGAGAAAAATCTCATTTTTTTCTATTTTTCTAAGGATTTATGAGAAAGGACTCTCAAATGGTCAGAATATATGAAAACTGAAAGCATAACCTAAGAGAACAGATTACATGACACAGTAGAGTTATGCTGACATGACAATTCCAAAAATATAGGTAATGACTTCTGAACACAAATAGGAATTCAGAGTGACCTCAAAGTTAGGACAGCCACATTTGAAGTCTGACAGGGAAACACTGTTCAAAGAACACATACATACACCAAAAAAAATAGGAAACTGGGGCAGAACTGTTTCCCACAAAAGATAGCAAACATATGGAAACTTGGCTCAGTAGCAAAAGAAACAAAATCTGTAAGCTTGCTCAAGGGAAAAGCAGTTGGAGGGGGGGCAGGGCGGAGATTGAGGGACATGAAACTGCTATAGGAAAATAAAATCAAATTTACTCAAAAAAAAGGAGAGAAGACATCTTCAGCATTTTACTTTTTGTTAATTTTCATTCCATTTTTGCACTTTTGTGTTCCAATTTTCTTTAGAAGTCTGTTATCTTTTCTGCCTGATAGCAGATTTTAAGCCCAGTCCTTGCAAATATTTACCAGCGAATTTTCAATACTATAAATAGTCTCAAAGAACTTTATATAGACATTGTTTGCAGGGCTGGGTTGTTACTATGTGCTAACAACACTAAGACGCATCTGAGTTCAGCAACACCCTGCAAAATCACAATAGAAAATTCACATATTCTTTTTGACTAAGAGGTTAGGCAGTCAAAAACTTGGAAATGACAAAGGCTGTTCTGGTTAAGAAGAGAAACTGGTGCTGGAATTGGGCTGTTTCTCTTAAGAAATCCTATTTATTTACAATGAACATACAAATCCTGTTTCCATATAAACAGAAAAGAACAACCAGCGAAAGACACTGCTTCAGAACAGACATTTCCAAAATTGTTTCTGCCAGCATTCAAGTACAAAACTTTCTTTTTCTTTTTTTTTTTTTTTTTTTTTTTTTTTTTAAACAGTAACATTCCCAGGGTTTCTTAGGCTTCATCTAGTGCTTCTCTCCAGGCAAACCCCTCTAGCCTTCTCTCCTTAACGTCTCTACATTTTCTGCCTTTCTTACACACAATGTACCTCTTCATAAAACACCACCTGACAGAAATGCTCCTATTCCCACAGAAACTCATTTTTGAGGCAGTGACAATGCTTGGATTCAAACTGCTGCTGCCTATTAGATAACTTGACAAGTTCTCCCAACTCTTTCTAGGGAAGGGGTACTAACATTCTGGTTTGACAACATACCCGGTCATAAGGCAATTTTTAAAAAAGGTCATACTTTAAACCCAAGATGATTTACAATAATGAAGCGTACCTTATTCTCTTTGTATCTACTGAGATCTGCTATACAGTATTCTTTGTACAATTTATCATAATACTTCTTTGCAAGCCTCTTTTCCCTGTAACAAAAGGTATTACTTTTTATTAAATATAGAACATGTTACAATTCATTTTACACTGTAATGACATTAGCAAGACATGTTTCATCCAAAGAACACAAGTTGCAGAGCTAGAAATGCAACAGAAATTTCCGTAATTTGCATCAACCTACTATTTTGACATGCATTAGAATATTATTGAGAAAACATTTTATTTTCCAAAGGCCCCCTGAAAGTTAGTTTAAACTCAGTATGTGTCTTTCTTCCATGGTAATTTCCATAAAACTGGAATATAGATATAAAATATATCTATAGCACAAATTAAACTGTGTTTTTTCAAATCAGGCTTCCTTCAGAGTTTTCAGAATAGTCATTTGAATCTCAGAGAATACACAAATATTTCTTAGTTCTTTCTGTCATCAACTAATTTTGCCACAGAGCAGTATCACAACATGAAAGATCTCCTGAAGGTCTTTCATTTAAAAATCCATTAAAGATGATCACTAAGTACGCACGGTAATTCTTAATTAGTACGGGACACCACAAATTTAGTACAAGTGATCTACAAATAACATGTTCTATAATAGTTTCAGGTACCAATTCATGTCTGCTTCATCATCTTCATTCCACAGGAATCTATGGTTTTCTCTAATAACATCAAGATCTGTCTTGTCATTTGCTCTATAAAAGGACACATGGTTTTCTTAGTACAACGTAACATTAAAATGAAAAGTCAGTCAATAATTTGGCAAACATCAGTATTTCACAGTTGTGATCACCACCTCACCACATAAAGGAACATACTGCTATGGAATAAACTATCACAAACTGTATTCCCTGGCATACCTTCTCCCAAATGAAAAATTCAGAGTGGAAAATGGCTGCTGAAACTGTGGATGACTTGATCCTGTCTGAAAATACTTTTAACGTTTTTTAGTGAGGACAGTAACATTAGAAAGCAGTTATAGATAGCTCTAAAGAAGGTTATCATTATTCTGGACAATGGACAGCAATCCTGCACATTTCAGAAGTATTTCAAATCGCTATTTTGAAGGTACTGCCAGATATTTCTCAATGTACCCTCAGTTAATGCTCACCTGTCATCTCTCCTTTTACATAACAAAACAAGAATAATTCAGCTCATGGTAAGTTCTTATATAAAAATAATGGTGCAAAATGAAATAAGGCAATTCTGTGGTCTGCATATTTACAATGATTGTAGTTACTATTTGAGACCAAAAGAATTAGTAATTTGATACATAGGCACATCCCCCTCTCCCCCCAAATCTATAATACATATTTAACGGTTGTACATAACAAGGGAGCTTTGAGGGCATGAGGGGAAATATTGCTAATAGTTCTTACCCAGACCGTCGGAAATCCTCTATTTTGCCACCATAGTATAAAATGTAGTCATTCACAAACTTTTTATGTCTTTCATACTGAACAAAGCAATTAAGGATTGTTTCACAACTTAACTTCTTTTATTTTAACATAGCTTAAAACTGAAAAAATAAGAAAAATTTTCTATATACTTAACAGAAAAAAGTTTTTTTCTCAAAACCAGTTCAGTAATTTCCAGAAAGGAAGGAATTAATTAGCAATTTGAACTTAATAACCTCTCATAAAAGCTACTATGCAAATATAGGAATTCAAAGCAATTTCATCTTTAAAACCTCATTCAGCTGCCAGACCTTTATGAAATTTTCTTCCTTTATCAAAATCTTCTGTATACACATATACAGAAACTGAGGTCATTTTTTCAGCTGTAATTTAGACAACAGCTTCTTAGTACTGTAGTTTTGGTCTAAAACAGGTTTGTATTTTTGTATTATAAAAACAGTCTGGCTACTAAAATGGAACAATTTATTACATTTTACCATCAACATAAAAATAAAAGTTATCTGCTTTGGTTTAGAGATGAAAATCAGGGGAAAATATGTAATGCTTTTTTTAGAACACTTTGACCTCAGAGACATGATTCGAAACACATTTTGTACCATAATTTGAGCAAAAATATGTAATTACTTACTCAGAAAATAAGCATCTTCCTAAATAAAAACATTATATATGGCTACTTAGTATTTTCAATTAATTTGTATGGTGTTTCTGAAGCAGTAAGCTAAGAAATACATTCTCTCCTGGTACCTATCCTGTACTGCATCAGCGTGAATAATTTGTATCAACTTACTATTCTGACATGCATTAGAATTTTATTGAGAAAACCTTTTATTTTCCAAAGGCCCCCAAAAAGTTAATTTAACCTCAGTATGCGTCTTTTTTTTTTTTTCTTTGCACCACAAATAGCAGGAACAGAGAAGCAAGGCCAGGTTTAACTGGCACAATTAAATACATTTAACACAACGTGCCATTTGAGTTACTGGGTGTTAAAACTGCGTAACAGTAAAAGTTTTAAACAGGAACCACTCAAAAACACTAGCAGAAACTCATAAAAGTTTCTACACAATGAGTTTTGTAGTCATTCCAGAATATACAGGCTTTTCAGTGGCTAATGACAGTCTACAATGTCAGTGGCACTGTTTAAGGTATGTCCCCTTTACAGGCATATAATGGTTTATGTAGTGCCTGGCCGAATTCTAAGCAGGTTAGGAGAAGTTATCTTCTATTTACTAGAGTTTCCAGATCTAGAGTAAGTCTTTCCATATTTAATTAGTCTTTACTTTCCTATTTATTAACTGTTACTGCTGAAGAACAGCTGTTTAAACAAACAAGGAACAGGTAGTATTTCAGATACACTCGGTCAAAACATGTAATGACTGCCCCAGGTGAAAACTAAATAAAAGGAGAAAGGTTGTAATCTATACAAGGTAGTAGTTATAAAAATAGTTGCAAATTATGCATGAAATAGGATTAAGCAATTAGGAAAAAAACACTAAAATAAAACTGCACATGATATTAAACAGGCTTACATTAGAGCATCTGAAGAAGACATTAATGGAGATGAGGCTGTTTTGCATAGACTTTCGAATTAACTAATACATTTTTAAATTTCCAGTAGAAATGTATTTGTCCACAGATAACAGCAGCCTTATATAGAATTATGTTCTGTATAAACTCAACTGAAAGAACAAAGTGTCTTTGTGCCAGTCTAAATAAAATTCACTGTATAATAATTTTGTTCCAAACAGAACAAATGAGCTTATAGGAAGAATCTACAAATGCCTCGACTGAGTAGAGGCATTCTCAGAGACATCTCAGCAATAAAAAGAAGATAATTGGAAGAACAACTCTGTATCTGGTGCTGCACTGCGAACTGCTGTGATAACTGAGAAATCCCAGTATTTCACCATGATGGATAATCCATGCCCCATCTTCAAACTTGAAGAAAAATTAAATAGAAGGATACAGCATCCATCGCTATCAAGTGAAATCTTCTTTTTCTTGCTTCTTCCCTGTTAATGACAAATATGTTTGAGTGAAAGCTATCTTTACATTAAGGGAAAAATGCTCACAAAAGCAATAGATAAAAGATACCTATCCCATTCTTCAGCTGCGAATTGCCTGTGAACCACACTGCCTTGTTTTGCTTTTTGGAAAGGCTTTATCAGAAGGCCATCTTCCTTTGTACTACAGGTAGAGGAAAAAAAGGAAGAAAAGTTAGTCAAGAACTTTTCATAAGCAATAAAATTTCCATATGCCAAACTTTGCACTAGCTTGAGTAACAAAAACTTTATATTGCTATAGATAACTGTTATATTGCTAGTTTCTATGTGAATAAAACCAAATTTCAGAACCAACACCAGCTTAGACTTTACATCATTTGCAGAACAAAATCAGAAAGGCATTTGTTCACAGTTAGCATTTAAAGGAAATTGCTTAAAACAATTGTTTGTAATATTTATTTTTATCAATATTATCACTATAGAACCACAAAGAAGAAAACCTGAAGATTCCTCAGTTTCACTGTACATAAATCTCAGCTACACAGTCAAGTAGGACCAGGAAGGACGGTATGTTCACTGAATAAGAGTGACTGCTAGTAACCCTATTCCATACTTTCATGCTAATGTCTTAACACCTCATTAAACAGCTCTGCCTCTCGGAGTATGATCCCAAGAATTGCTAATTTAAAACTTAAGTAGTGTTGTGAACCATACCTGTCAGTGGGCAGATAAAAATACTTTCTGAATTCAACAAAGTAATAAAAAGTTAAATACAAAGTGATGCACTTTAGCTAGTAAAAGGTATATTTACTTAGTTTCATCCCTCAACAGAGGTGAAGAAAAAGATTTTTTCCATAATTATCAGCTGGCAGAAAGAATGGAAGTCAGAAATGTATAGAAAGCAAGCCAGGGAATTTATATTTCAAGCTATGGAACATAGGACTCTAAAAACTAAGGGCATCATTTGCTCAAAAGGATCTGCAGGCACAAAAATCCCAGAAGGAGACTCTGTAAAACAGCAATATAGAGAAAACTTAAGACTCTTAAAAGTGAAAACAAATATCATCATACAGCAAGAAAAGGATATATACACACATAGTGAAACCACATAAGAACCCTACTGGGAATCAGCAGTAGTGTGCCAGAACCAGGGTAATGATGGTATTTTTGAAAGGGCCCTGATGGTTTGTTAATATTCCACCTAGAAAGTGCAATGGTATAATGTGTAATGGCCTTTTAAAGAAAACAAAAATCGAACAAAACCAGTCACTGTTTTGATGGAGAACAGCTACATTTATAAAATAAATGGAACAGTACAATGCCTGCTATTATTCCAAGGATTAAAACACGAATTATTTTGTTTTCCAGAATGCAGTCAGACCCTACAAAACCCATTCTTTCAATTTTACTACAAAGAAAAATATGCAAGAGTCCTAGGAAAGTTTCCAGAAAGCCTTCTTAAATAAAGTCCACTAACAGAGCAAGGGAGAGACGGGAAAAGGTAAGAAAAAATCTGCACAATGTAGACAAAATGTTCAGTACAGTGCAGAAAGCGTTGAATGACTATGGTGCCAAAGCAAAATAAATACATACATAACTAAAAATCTTAATAATATAATGAGATCAGACTACAAAACTCAAGGTCACTAATCATACGAACCACTGAAAGAACTGGCAAAGGTGATCTCAAATAAGAGATGTGTACAAAGATTGAGTACAACACAATTCAACAGTTCCCAGTCTCTTCACAAATTAAATAACAAACAAGTAGCATCAGTTCTTCACTTCCTCCAAGCAGGTGTTTCATATCTACAAAGCCTGCTGCCACTTGGCCATTTCTGCCTTGCTCTCTTAGCAGTTCTACGTGTCCCGATGGGTCACAGTGAAGTGAACGGTGCAGCCAAACTCCAGCAGTTAATACCAATGCTCAGAAAAATGAAATGCTCTGCTCTGAGAATTGAGGGACATATAAACACCAGATGGACATGGCAGAACGAATCTTAATCTGCTGCCCCTGGGAGATGACATGCTTTGGCAAGCTTGACGTGAGGAGATGCAGGAATTGGAGAGACTGATTTTTCATAAACCATTTCAACACCAGCCTTTAAATACCACAGCATAATCTTCTATACACAGTAATAGGCCATTCACACAAAATACATAATGCAAAGTGTTAATTCTGTACTACATTACCTTTTAGTCTTCTGCACAGACTTCTCTCCATTCTCCTCATCACTAAAATCAGAATCATAGCCTCCATGGCCATGCGCCTGAAAATAATAGACAACACAGTGAATATACCTGCTAATGTAACATGGACATGGCATAACCAGAAATCAGTACTGTCCGTCATGCATAAATAAAAGAGAGAAAGACAGAGAGCAAGCAAGCAAGTGCAAATTCTCATATCTAAACCAAACCAAATTCAACAGATAACGCAGAGCATATTCCAAATAACACAGGGCAAAGGAGGACATCATCAGTTAGTCAAAAGATTACTTTAGAAATAATTTATATACAGAAGTCCTCATATTTAATCTCCATATAGATGCAGATAACCAAAAGTATGATCAACATCTTTAGTCTTTACTTTCGAACAATTTCCCTTATGTAAGAAACAGGTGAGTATTCTCCCCAGGAGCTACCCTTTCAGAGGGCTGTAGGTCAGCAACTGATGCGCTCACACTGCAAATAAAGATGAGAACAAAAGTTTCTTGGGCCATGGTACAGCATTTTAGATCATTAGATCTTACATGGGTAGCTGGAAAGCTGATTGAAATTATAACTAAAATATAAAATAACAATATGCCTGCAAAAATGTACCATCTAATCAACACAATATTCCCACCATAAAATTAAATCTTTTTTTCTGCACACTTTGGGACTACAATGTCAAATCAATGCATATAAGAAACCCAAAATAGCCCATATCTTACTGCCATCAAACGATCAAGCACTGCCTGATGCCCAGATCTACCACCTCCGTTTTTCAGGGCACAGTTACATATCCAATTCTTTCAGCAGAAGCAATGGCTTAAGCAGATCCCATCTCCTCTCCCTCACTCCTGCTCTGGTACCTTCCAGTTGCTTAGTTACAGTTGTGAAACTATGCATGAACCAGATCAAACAACTCACCCAAGTTACAAAGGATCCTATCCATAAAAGATTATTTTAACCAAGATAAGTTTCCTGACAGTTCATTCAGAGCCCCGCAACCAGCTCCATCAGCCACCTGGAGGAGCAGCACAGGAAGAGAACAGCCAGAGCTGGGAACTGTGTAAACTGGCACTGACACCAAAAAGGCATTCACACAACTGGAACATTTACACAACTGAGCTAAAACCAAGAGAGATGGTTATCACACAGCTGCATGGGGAAAAGTTTGACACATACTTGCTAAGTATCTTGGTAATTCAGACTGTGGATGAGAAAAGAAACTGGTTGGAAAACCAGTGTCTCTGATTCAACGTTGCTGATTCCTGCATTACCTACAATCATATTCCTCCTCAGAAAAACACCTAAGAAAAACAAAATCTGCAAAAAGAGACACATCTCTTCAGGATGCTTTTGATGAGGTGTGAGTAAACTGTGTCCTCTACTGACATCAACAACCGGTCTGTATTGTGCAGAGTATGCAAACTGCTATCTTCTCACACTGACAGTGAAAGACTGATTTTTGAGATTTTTTTTTTTTAAATATTTTTATTAATAAATGTACCTTTTTTCCTTGCTTTAAGACTGTAATGTTCCTTCCACTATTGAACTCTTCTGAAGACACAGCTCTCATATACATATATATTTGAACAAAAGCAAATCTGAACTTTCTGTCACAGGAGACACAAAAATTATCAGTTACCAAAGGAAAAAAAAAAAGTGCAGCAGATGTCTGCAGTGTCTGGTGTAAGCAGGCCTCATGCACTGGCAAAAATAAGCAGCAATAGTACGAAGTCCCACAATAATCCACAGCTCAGATGCAGGTCTCCTAGCTGAGGTGGTTCTCATAGCAAGCCTGTCACTGCTTTTATTAATGAAACTCATGTGGTCTTTAAAAAAGGCTGAATACATTCGGAGTGTGCAGCAAATATATTTATACTTGGCCTCTAAATTTTAAAAATATGGTAATCCAGGAATATTTTAAATTGAGAAGCAATGCTTCCCAGATGAACACTGAGAGCTTCCTTCACACTCAAAAGGAAGAAAGTCCAAGCCCGCACAATGTGCATGGAAGTCAACATGAGACAGATGAAGTATAAAAACAGGCAAGAAGAGAAAAGCTCGAATAAAGGGACATTTTCCCAAAGTGGTTGCCCTTGGATGATGGGCCTCAGGAAAGAAGCAGACATACTCAGTAATCAGCTCCAAACTGACTCTGGGAATGACCCAAATAAAAAAGCAAAAGATGCAAGAAAGCTGCTCCAACAGAGCCTGAGAGCCCAACTGTAGGGCTCTCAGAAGCTGATGACTGCCCTTTGGAAAGCTGTGACTCTGAATATAAGTGCAGGCATGGCTACAGACTAGGCCCTGAGAGGCTGCTCTTCTGGCAGGAAAACGCTTCACAGCTTCAGCCATTCCTCTGTGTCACTACAATCATTCAAAGACAAATTCAGACTGAAACAGAGTACAATCCACGACTAATGTCCTGGCACTTCTAGCTGACTCCTTTGAAGGCAACAGCAGGACAGGTAGGTACTGTACCGAACTTGAGTTTGACATCAGCAGCTTCGGCAGCTCCTGACGGCGCTCCTGGGGCCTGGCACTGAACAATTACTGACCTTACGCCTTAGGATGATACCAAGATCACCTGACCTTTAGGTAAAACATAAAAATGAACTCCATCAAAGACTCTCATCCATAAATGAATCTTTCCATTTTGACAGTGTAAACAGACAATGTTGTGAAATTTCAATACTGATTTCTCCCCTTCTCCACAAAAAAAGCCAAACAACAATCCCAGATAAGGAAAATGTATTTAACACTTAACGGTAGTAAAAGAGGGGCAGATACCAAAGCTTTGTGCCCAAGCTAAAAGATTTTAAAAGAGGCCTACGTAGACATGGACAGGCAAAATTGTCAAGAAAAAGTAAAATAGCTACTTTCCCTATTTGCTAACCCCTTTAATATAATCTTCGCTTTGATGGAATGTCAGAAACTCAGAATGCTTTTAGTAAATTAGCAAGGCAAATACCAAACATTTTATAAAAACACAAACCTGAAAGCTACGTAACTTAAACGGTACAGTGTGGATTATCTGTTGCACAAACTTTGAACTTTTTTTTTTTTTTTCCCCACAAATAACAAAACAAACTGAATCACAAAACTAAAACAGGGACCAATATGCTTTGGGATACATTGCAATCACTGACATTTAAGTAACCCCAACATCTTGGCTTAATTAGTAGTGAAGCAATTGGAGACAGAACCAAGCCCACTAACTTAGGGCTCCTAAAAAATAGCAACTTAAACACAGTAAAGGTACCAACACTGTATGCAACTGACAACAGAGGAGATGTCAAGCGTTGATGGCAACACAGGACTCTGCATTTACAGGAGGTACTTGCATCCAGAAAAGGCACCTCCTTTAACCCCCTCCACTGGAGTAAACACACACTAGTGAAATGGACACATCACAGTTCATGTTGACTCCCGATTATAACATGCAGCTGAACAGAAAAAGGCAGTTAAAAAAAAAAAAAAGGCAAACCAATCCTACACACAAAACCACAACTCGTAGCTCCAGACCTCAAACCTAATCTTGCTACTCCCCTCGCAAGCATCAGTCCCATCCTTTGTTTTATCTGCCCAGCAGACAGGTCTGTGCTCATGTCTGCTCACAGCCCAAATACGGCCCAAAACAGACCCCAGCGCCCATTTTGGTACAAACAAACTACTCTGGAAGGGTCTGAAGGAAGCATGGGACCTCAAACAGGCCCTGAGGAGCCATCCTAGCTAGCTGAAGGGTCTGCATGCTTCACTCCAAAACAAAAAAATTGATGTTGTTTTTGAGGCTTTACACCCCCTACTTGGGGGGAAAAAATCTGAGAGGTAAGTACAATCAGCTTCAAACCTACTCTTCGTTGTAAAACCAATTACAAGGAGTATTTGCATATACCGTACAGTGAACACCCCTAACAAAGAGAAAAGACATTCACAAGATACTGCCCCTTTATTAAAGCTCTAAAACTATGAAAGGAGAAGCAGGAGTAAAAGGTAGGAAACAGAAGACCACGACAGTGAGGATTAGAGCTTTGTGGGCCTCCACGGGGAAAAATCACGCCGAAAACCGGCCCGTGTGGGTCCGACAGGACTTCCGAAGCCGCTCCCATGCCCCG